CGAACAATGCTGGATTTTGTGAAGCTCTCCAACAATGTTTCATCGATTCGTTGTTCTTCCAATGTGCAAGAAATTGATTTTTTCAATGGCGGGAAAAAGGTGATGGGATCATCATCTTCTTGGGCTAAAAGCATTGACAAAGGAAGAGATGAAAACAGCGAAGAGAGGACTTCTGAGACGAAAACTTTCTCTTGCAATTTCTGTAAGAGAGAGTTTGCGTCCTCACAAGCCCTCGGAGGGCACCAGAATGCCCACAAACAAGAGCGTGCGATAGCGAAACGTCGGCAAGGGATGGGCACGGATGCTCTTGGTCACCTTCACTTTCCATATTACCCTTACACTAGCTTTCCCACAAACCCTTTTTATGGGTCCTACAATAGGGCACTTGGCGTAAGAATGGAGTCCATGATTCACAAACCTTCTTATCCTTGGTCTTCTGGCCTTAGATTTGGTCGTAGTCATAATTGGTCAACGCAAGGGATTCTAAGTTCATCATCATCATTAGCACTTGATAGATTAAGTATTGAAGGTTTGCAACCAAAAATGAATGAAGGTGGGGTTAGTGGAATTCAAGCAAGTTCTTCAATTTTGAAGATAGAAGATGATAATGGTGGTGATAATGGAACTGCTCCCCAATTAGGAGATTCTTCTACGAACAATGTTGCTGCAAATCTCACTCACCATGGCACGGATGATCATGATCCCAAGCCAGATAATGAACCCTCTAGTTCAGAGTCTCCAGAGCTTGATCTGTCACTTAAGCTTTAAGTATGAACTTTAATTCATACCAATTATGTAATCTTTTTTTCTCTGTATATTTCATCTTTACTGTTATTTACTTCATGCATTACTGATATTATTACTAGTTACTTTTTCTTTTTCATGTGATCATTCTAGTATATCTTTTGACAATGTCATAGATTAAATGGTAATACATGGTATAAATACCAATGTGCATTACACTTTTTTTGATCCTATCTTGTGTTATCTTTTTCATTCATATGCATTTTCCATTCAAGGTTTAGCACACTCATACGTGAAATAGTTTAATGGCGGTAAGGAATCAATATAAATAACTAATTCAAAATCTCTGAATTAATATTTTTGACATCATATATAAGGGACAAAATAAATTCAACGTTTAGAAAATTATTTATTATTCAATGGGTAACAAATATATGAATCAATGTCGGTGCCTTTTCTTGCTGAGTAAACTTGTTTGATAAGGCACTTTTTACGTGTTAATAGTTAATATAATGATAATGATTCGGTTCCAATTTGCAATTGGAAAGGATTGAAAGTTTGCAACAATGCATCGTTAATTTCGGATTGTCACTTTAAGTAATTTTCTTCAAGGTTTTGCTCATTAATGAGTTTACCAACACAATGAGATCAAATCTGTAGTATTTAATTAGAGTTACTGTCGGATAACATCACTTGATACCTGTATGTATAAATGTATTCTCCTAATTTTAAAAAGATAAAAAATGGGAGTGCTTTTTCTGCTTTTAAAATAATAATATTAAATTAAGAAATTTGGAGGCTCTAGAGTGGGATTTCAGTATTTCACATGAGAAGGTAAAAGTAAGGGAGTTTTATCATTAGATCAATAAAATTAAAATTAGAGCTAATTTTTCATCCAAAGGTGAATATTTTATTTCCTGATTTTTTTTCCCTTCATTAATATTATGAAGAGCAAATAAGCTGGTGAGGATGAAGATCTGATTTGGTCAAAAGACACGAGTGGGATGCGATCAATTTGATAAGGCGGTTATTAATTTATTATGCATTGATTAATGGGGATTTTTTTTCCCGGGTTTAAGGTGAATATTATTATTTAGAATTTGGATTCTTTAAAGTAAAATAACTTGATAAATGATAAAATACTTATTTTCTCAAGTTTATCCTATTATTCAAGGCTTTCTATTTTTGGTTAGTTTCTATCCGATATTGAACGCTTTAATGCACTTAGGCACACAGTCGCTGTTCTTTAAAAAAAAAAAAAAAACCGAAGTCAAAATTAAGTGGAGCAATAATTGGTTGATCCTTGTCAATGGTGCTGACCAAAATCTTCTGACTCAAAACTCAATGAGTGCAATAGAAGAGTATGACAACAACAGTGTACCAGAGTCCAGAATAATCATTGGCTAACTCAAGTTTCCAACAAGACATCATGAATCATGATTCATGAGGGCTCACGTAATCTGCACAACTTTCATCAATATTATTAGCTTTGTTGACAACACACCTCAGTAGAACATCTATTTCTCCCATTAATTGTTATAAAAAATGTGCAAATGATATTCATATGCATATATAAAAAATAACAACAGAAAATACACCAAGAAGAAGTGGCATGATAGACATGCATTGGTGTGTCTTCACCTAACAAATAAACCTTTTTTGGATAGTTTGATTCCTGATAAAAATCAATAAACTAAGTGAGAGCAAAGAATTCCAGATATGAAGAGGACCCAGTAACTTAATACTGCACAGGAGAATCAATTCACAATTTCACATACAAGAGTAAAGATCAACTTGGAAGGAGTAAAAATAACTATAAGCCTAGATCCATCTCTCAACTTTCCTCCATCTATAAGACTATAACCTTCAAAATTTCACTAGTAACCAACTAACAAGCACACAGGAATAGCAGAACTGACTTGTATACAGAACACTTGGAAAGAAAGCAATACAGGAATTTTTTCAACTCATTGAATGATATTAGGAAAACAAATGAGTTAGATTGGAAATTATAGTCCTCATAACATTCATCCTTCAATGGACATGTTAGTGAATTCCCTGCTTGGATCGTCAGTAGCATTGAAGAGATGTATTAGATAAAAAAAATGTGACTTTTACAGTTCAAAGTTTCATAATTCAGTAAGGAAGAAACAAGAAACAAAATGCATTATTATACATAGAGAGAGATAGTTACACCAAAAATGTTTAAAACTAGACAGAGTGTACAATCATACCTAACTGAAGAGAGTACATAAGTACAGTTAAGAATGCATACGACAGTTATGTGCAATTTTATGCCTCCTCTTGAAAATGAAATAATCCTTGGACATCTCAGTACAGATAAACAAAACGAGGGGGAATGCATCATCCATCAACAATGAATTGATCTTCTTGATTGTCTCCCTCGACCCTAGTGTCGCCATGAACCATTCCGTTTACATTATGCATATTTTGCATCATTTGTGAAAGATAATGGTTGCTGGCACTAGTATGATCAGATAAACCAGCAGGTTGGGGGGTCCATTGCGAGAATATACCAAGTAACTGGCTAGTAAGGTTTTGATGCTCATGAAGTATTCGGGTTTGCATTTGGCCCATCTCTGCTCGGTGCTGATTTAGCATATCATCAACCCTCTTCTTCCATTCTAGCCTCCTGCAATTCATTCTCTCTTCCCATTCCCTCTCACGAATCAACTCTTCCTCTTTTCTTCTCCTTTCCATCTCTTCACTCTCCTTCTCCATAGCTTCCCACTCAGGCAACCACTGCCTCCTCACCTTCACCCTATCCTTTTCCCTCTCCTCCAATCTCTTCTCCCACTGCTTATCAAGCTCCACTCGGACATTCTCCCTCCTTTGTCTCTCCCTTTCTCTATCCATCTCACGCTGCTCGAACCGAGCCTCCATTTCCCTCAACTGTCCCAGCTGGTTAGCTAGAAACCTCCATGCCTTCTTTTCCATCCCCTTAACCACCTTCCTCTTCTTCAAACTCGACCCAGTCCCTTCCCCATTTTCGCACGCATAACCGTTCTCTGCATCATCCCTCACCTGACCACCACCACTCCCATTACAATTCTCCTCCCCTTCCTCAAAATCATACTCAAATCCCAAACCCATCACCTCATTTTCCATAGCAGCCCCAAAATCCCCATCCCCATCATGACCAATCTGCTCAAACTCAACTATGTCTATTTCCCCACCCCCACCACCACCACCACCGCCCTCAATAAACCCATCTCCGTGATCATGATCTTGATCCCTATCCCCATCAACAACCGCCATCAAATCACCACCACTACCATGACCACCAACACCAAGAGGGACATCCCCAAACACATCCTTGTACCTCAGAAAATTAGACCAATGCGTGAGCCCCTCCACCCAATCAAAATCACCATCACAATCCCCACCTTGGGAAGAACCGTTCTCCAACCCGGAGAACTCAGGCTTCTTGATCTTCTGCTTAACAAGTAGGTACTGGTGGCGCATGTTCTGAACTTTTGTGGACACGTCCTTCCAGGACCACTGCCAAGGGAACGCGATGGGGTCGCGGAGGTGGTGGATCGTGTTGACGTGGCAGGCGATTGGCTTGAACTTCTTCTCGCGAGTTCTCATCTTCGCGAGCGTGCCGTCGCCGACCATCTCGCCATACTTGTCGATTAGGGTTTTCTCCTCCGCCTCCGTCCATTTCTTCCGCCGAGGAGGAATCATCGCAAACCAATCCCGATAACGGTAACAGCGACAGCGACGGCGATGAAGTTGGTGTTGGTGTTGATGCCTCCTTCTTCTTCTTCTTCTTCTTTTTCGGCTTCGTCAAGCACCAAAACCTTGTCGTGTATCGATTCTGATTGCATCGAGAACAGGAAAATAGCGAAACTCGCTTGAATTTTGATTGGTTTCGAATTCGGAATTTTAACCTAGCGAATGAACGATTGATTGTGTCTGAAAATGGAGAGGAGTAACATGATAGCGGTGGTGGCTTACCTAGTGGAGCTTCGGAGGAGGAATCCAAATAGAGGAGGTGGCTGAGCGTGGTAACAAGCAGCACAATGATTTTCCCGTAAAGTTGGATTTTTCCCTAGAAAGTGAAACTAGTTGATGTGGCTAACTGGGGTGGGGGATTCAACTCACAAGCACTCGTGTGCAAAGAAAGCACAAAACTTACCAGCCAATTTTACATTTCTTTTCTTTTCTTCTTTTTTTTCCCTTCAATTTTTAAAAATACAAAATTTAAAATGTTTTTTACAAAATTTAATGCTGTGGTTGGCATGCCGGAGTGGTTATCGGGCATGACTAGAAATCATGTGGGCTTTGCCCCCGCTGGTTCGAATCCTGCTGCTCACGTATAGATTGATTTATAATCAATTATCAACTCATCATGAGTAGTTTTTTGTTCATATGATTGATGATTATGATTAGTGATTACACTTCACTGGTTAAAAGCTTAAAATGCTACAAATATGCAAATTTGACTTCTTCAGTTCATCTGCCCCACACTTATAGATATTATATATATATATACACACACACATCACACTCAACCATGGGAATATTTCGAGTTCGAAGTAAACAAACGACGATAACAGGAACTGATAAATAGGCTAAAACTTAGGATCATAATCTCACGTTAATCAAGATTATTGTTAATCTTTTGGCTAGTCATAGGCAAAAATAAAATAAAAGAATCTGTTTCCATAATTTATTCCTAAGAAGAAAAAAAAATTATTGAAGAGGAAAGACTACTACGAGAAACTAAACTGTGGCACCTATCTACAATTTTCCAGCTATGCTTCCTGTAATCTTTCAAACATGATGTATTTTGGCTTTGCCGTTTTTCCATTACAGTTATACATCTTTGAAAGACCATTTGGCATAACCTTCATCAGATTTTTCTAAAAAGGAAAAGACCATCGCTGCCGCACAGCAAGCTTTTAAAAAGGTCCACTACCTATCTTGCTTCCTGCGAGTTGCTTCTAGTGTGATCTGGAGTCATGAACACCGGAGGAGGAAGTACCGGTTTGTCTCCCATGTCCTTAGTTTTGTGGAGGAGAAAGGTCCCGGATAAAATCGTCACAAAGCCGCACAACTCAGTGGCGATTTGAGATGCACTTTGGGAGTCCCAGTCCTGCACAGCACAAAAAAGAAACCACCAAAGAAGATAAGAAGTTAACAACTTCATAGTTCATTTGCATAGTGCCAACACAGGTTTAAGATAGTGTCGCTGCTCTAAGTACTTCTAAACAAAAGCAACAAATGTTTGGAACCCAAAAAAAAAAGGGAAACATCAGACGCACAAAAGGTATAAAGTTACCTTAAACATGATTATGCTGGCAAAGATGGTAAGTGATGTAAACATGACATAGTAAACTGGAGATACAACGGCAGTGTTGAAAGTGTCCAATGCCTGCAAATGTTTCCAGATTAAACTAACAGCATTACAACTTAGTTAGCAAGGCTCTTATCTCGAACTGCTAACTCAACATACTTATTTTAAAGACACAAACAGAATGCTGAAATGAGGTGAAGTTCAACCGTGAGTTCATTGGAGATACTAGAATAAGTAAGATGCCATGCTATTCCTAGAAAATTGCATGTTAAGCTTTATTCATCCCTGACAAATCAATTGTAATTGGGAAAAACACTACAAAGTCTCTTGTTTAAAACTTTTTCTTCAACATGCCACATACTGGATTACACAATGACATCATGACAGAAGCCCCAAAGAGGGAGAATGCATAATCTTCTTTTAAAAAAAGCAATGCAAATTACCATCTAAAACTAAGTCTCAAATTCTGAAATTCCTAGAAACAGCAGAATGACTCTGGT